GTAGTAGTCTGAAGTGGAGGCCATCTGTTTCATTTGATTCTGCCTAGATATATCATTAGCTCTGGAGCACTGAACATTTCTTTAGGTTCATTTAAGGGATTTTAAGTCTCTTCTTTCTAGTGTGCAGATATGCCCTCCTTATCACCAATATACTGTCTGCCAGCAATGTGAGTGTGAGCAGTGCAGTAATAGCGATTCTCCAATACTCTGTGGCTGGGACTAGGTCCTCCCTAAGGACATCAATCCGATCTGCATCCACCATAAGGTTTCTATTTTGGCAAAAACAGAAATGTCAGTGACTTCACATTCGACTGGTTGTTTCTGGACAAAGCACCTGTTTAAATAAGTTTGCTGGAAAGACACTTTTTTCTGCATCTTGTGTAGGAGTTTCCCTCTATAACACCACACACATAAAACCTCAGTCAGCAAAGACATGTACCTGAGCTTAATTTACCAGATTTTCAATATCCTCCACTTCTGCCTAGGTAGTAGTGTCAGAGAAGTGATGGAGAGGCCCCTTCACTGCTCTTATCTAAATCTGCCTTTAAAAGGAAGAGGCAGATAAATGTGCCAGGCCTTTGGGAGGCTGAAACTGTTAACTGACAAGTCATTGAGAGGAACAAAGAGCACAGCATATGTGGGCCTTCAGGCCCCTGCTACACGTTACATGTATTATGCAATTAACTAGTCAGCCACACAATAAATTTAGACCAGCCACATGCGCAAAATAATTATCACACAATAAAAATAACTACCCAAGTATCAAAAGAGTGAATCAGCTATAAAATTAGTGCTTGAAAATGTGTAACAGCTTTATCGCTGGTTTCTGTCTAGCTGTAATCTGAATGTGTAGTAGAGGTCTTAGGTAATGTCTTACTTCTGCACAGACTGTAATGTCACCTAATGGGCACTCGTGGTCTCAGCCCCTCTGCATGCCACCTTGGTGGTTAGCTCGTTCTCTTGAGTACTGGCCAGGGTGAATATTTTCATTACGTGGCAGTGCTCTGCCTGAGCAGTCCCATCTCACAGATATACAGGTCTAACTGGTACATGCCACTGGCTAATGTTGGTTGGCTGCTCAGGAGAGCACAGCCTTTGCTAATCACACATAACTTGTGCTGTTAAAGTAGGAACGTCTGTCTCCAGCTCTTACAGATCTTTCATTGATCTCACTGCCTGTCCCCAGCATGAATTGTGCCTGTTGGAGCAAGAAGCAAGCACTTGCAGAAACAGAAGCCAGTCACTTGTACAGCTTCTTTGCGTTATTACTGTAGCTATAGGTGCCAATTCTTATTTTTGCTGGGGGCGGTGGTAGGGAGGGCTAAGAGGATGGACACACAAAAAGTTTTAAGTGACTGCCCTCTTCCTGAGGCAAGGTCCGGGTCCTCGGGTCCCCATGTACTCAGCACCTCTGACTGTAGCCCTAAAAACATGGGGGAGAAACTCTGCAAGAAAGGGTTTTTGCAGGGTTTATAAGAAACCAACAGCACAGAAGGTGGAAGAAAAAGCTACAAAGAATCCAGAGGAGAGTGAGGAAGTGTTTCAGAGACAAAGGTGACAAAGTGACAAAGTAGAGACAAAACATCCCTGGTCCCTGCTGGCGGGATGGAAGACAAGGACGGTAGGGGACACCCTGCAGGGATCAGGTGAAGAAAAGGGGTTCTATACCAAATACATAAATCTTACAGACTGTTTCCTAAATATGCAGTGCCGTTCAGTATCTGAACAGTCAGAAGTGTAATTCCTGGGGTATTCCATTCTTTGAATAATTGGTATTTTCTATGGCTTTTTACAGCATTAGTACAATAACTTTGTATTCAATTAATGGCTTTTTATGACCAACCTTGCTTCTCCTCACTTCCTTATTGTCATTAACAGATGCAATCAAGACAATGTCCAATCCATTTTGAGACTCAGCTGCCTCTGCTACAGAGGAGAATCCAAAGGACGGAATTAAATTAATGGAACCATTTCTACTGCATAAGTTACCAGTATTGGCTGTTAAGAAATGTCATTTTATAACATCCACATACAAATAGCAAGGTCTAGAGCTTGTGTTTTCATTCAGTGAAGGTAACTTAACAGCTCATGTGCACATGAATTTAGCAGCTCATGTGGGCACAGGCATGAGCATAAAAGCAGCTAATCTATGAAAAAGTGTATCATGACATTCAGTGGCATTCACTGCCCCTCTATTGTGCAATGCACCATTAAAACCATATTTCTCTCTGAAAGCAGAAACCATTTGCATCACTCTGCACCTATTCTGAAATCTATCACTGAGTGGTTGTTCCAGCGATCAAATCTTGGCCCCATTCAAGTCAATGGCACATTTTCCATTGACTTCAGTGGGGCTGGTAATATATCTCTAGCTCTTAAATTCAAGGTTCTGCCTAATCTAAGGGCCTTATTACATGTTACACCGTAAGCTGCACAAATGTTGATCGTCTAGCGCTAGTTTGCAGTCACACCTTCAGTTGGTGCGGCACATCTGTTGGTAGTGGCCATACTTGAATGCACCAGGAGCTAGATTATGAGGATCAAGAGATAATCCTGCCCTGGAGTGCCATAACTTTTAACTGCCATAACAAGTGCTTAAAGGTGTTAATGTGTGGACACTCCAGGGGTTAAGAGCTCCAGGAACCACCCAAAATTAATGTGTAACAAGGCCTTCACTCCCTTCCCGAGATTCGGCCTGTTTTGTCTTTCCACTTGCTCTCCCAGGAACATATTTAGGTGAGGGTTCTGCAAAGCTTTAAAAATAGTTCAGAGTTTTCTTTAAAGTTTTAACATTTTTCATCCACAACAACAATTGGCCCTTTGGTGACAACCTGAAAACAGGGTGCAAAGGATACTTGCTGCCAAAATATCCAATTTAACAAAAAAGTCAGTTGTGATCAAATATTTAACAGAGTTACAAGAAAGTGTGGTTAGTTTTCTGCCTTCTTTCATGCCAGTACCTGTGCTTGAAACAGCAGCTATCTACCTGTCACTTATTTACCATGTAGACTAATCAACCATATACTAAATAATTGTCGACCAGATTCCTAATTTGATTACAAATCTCAGTAGATCCACTAAGCACTTGCAGATTGCTGTCCGATTTCTACTCAGCCACGGAAGATGTAATTGTAAATAGAAAAAAAAGGATACAAATGAATGAACAAACAAACAATGGACACAGATTGTTTTATAGCCAGCATTAAGCTGTATAGTCTCATACTAGTCTAGAAACTGTCCAGATAGGTAGTGGTTCATATCACAGCAAAAAATCATTTGCTTGCATTAGACGGATCTATATGTATTTGTAATTGTTCTCCTGAGAACAATTACGAAACTATCACAGCCCTGTTAAAAATGTAAGCTATGTAAAAGCCAATCCTCTGCATATTACTGAGTCTCCAAACATTTAGAGCATTAGCTCTTTTTCTGTTATTACCTTTCACTCCATAAGATGCTTCTAAGAACCTAACTTCCATGCCCTTCCTCCCCTTGGTGAATACTTTCACAGGGAGAAATGCATAATGCATACATAAATGACATTTCTGCAAAGTACCCAATACCATTCCTTTCAAATTTACTAGTCATAACACTCAAACATGTGTCAAAAACCAACTTCCTCCATTAGAGGTAATAGAAGAAGAGGGGAGATATTGGAGGTGTGTCACCTATTTGCCAACAGGTCTCCACAATCAGTGCAGATATTATGCTTGGGAAAAGTCAGTTTCTTCCTGTGCAGAACAGGTGTGAACTTGCTTAGAGGGCAGAAATTAGGCTTGACTGAGGATGGGGTCTGGGCTGATATAATTGAAAAGCCTTAAACCGGATGTCGTATTTCCAAGGCATGCATGGAAAACTGATGCTTCTTCTGGGATGAGAGATGACAGGAAAAAATAAAACTGGGAATCTATGTGTAGACCTTTGTGGATGAGACTATTTCAAGTTATTAATTTGCCCAGAAAGCACAATCTACCACAGGGACTTCAGTAAAGTAACATAAAGACAAAAGGGTTTGCTACAAGGAAGAACAAGTGGTATAAAAAAGAAAAAGTGATCAAATGTTTTGACAACAGAGTATGGTAAAACAAATCAACAAAATCCTTACCCTATATTCAGACTACCAGCTCATGAAAATCCCTGTGAAAACGTCCTAGGGTCAACCTCCCCTCAGTCAAGCAGGGACCTCCATTCCCCCTTTTCCCACCACAACCCCCTCTCTCCAGCCACCCATTAATTGTCCCTTTTCCCACCATCACCTTCCTTCCAGGGAGCCAGAAAATCCTCTACAGTGTTTCTGCCTGTGGATCTGTGACACTTCCCTATATATAATATGGGCTTTGGAGCACTAATTACAGGCTTAAGGTATGTTAGGATTCCTCTTTTAACTGCTCAGACCCTCCAGGCCTTCACAACCCTGAGAAGGAGTGGGACACTAATAGTAACTTCTGCCCTGCTCCACGGCAGGCAATCAGATCCTGTTAGGGAGCCAATCTAATTTGTAGACACAATGAAACCACTACAAAGCCAATTCACTTTCAAATGATATGGAAGGGGGGTTGTACATCAAACAGCTGGCAAAGTTGATGCAACAGGCCAAATACCTATTATGCTCAGACATATGTATCTCTGTGTGTACCTGGCCACATGTGGGATGGTTTGCAGGACTGGTGCCTGTCTCATCACCAGTTTGCATGAACAAGCCTATTCATACTCCTCCAAGTAAATAACGTACATAGAGACATGGGAATATATTAGTATGGGGCATTCATTATTTTAACTTTTAAAGTATAATCCAATAACACCACTAGAAGGTGATAAAAAAGATAAAAATACCTGGTTGTAAGAGTTTAAAAGAGCATTTACCTTTATCCGTGCAGGTAAAGGAATTGCTGTGAGGGGAAAGTAATTTGATGGAACTGATGTTCAGGGTATTGTAGGGAAGCAGTTCTGTGTAACGACCTAGTGCTATATAAGGCCAGGCTGCCTTCTATGGTAGAAGTTGGCTAGGTGGTAGGAAATCAGTTGTCCTGTTGGCTTCTGAGGTGCTGGGGGGGAATATTTCTATTTGCTTGGTAAGAATTCTCCTGTATTCTTCTGATGTGTTAAAAGTGCTTCTTCTAGGTTTTAATTTTCATCCTGTGTACAGTATAACATTGTGATTATGTATATTTATTTCCATGAGTTTTGTTGCTGGTGGAGCATGACATTGTTCTGAAGCAAGTTGGCTTTAATGGGTAGGGGATGGCTCAAGGAACTACCCTTCATGGATGGGATGTGATACATCTCTGTTTCACTATTTCTTGACCTACTAAATACAATAAGCAAAGTCTGCTTAGCAAAGTGCACTAAGACTAACGCACATCTTTAACACTATATACTCTATTATCTGCTCAGAACACTTCCATGGGAGCTAAAACATCTTTAGAAAATGATGTGAAAACACCTTTGATAGGAGAAACAAATTGAATCTTTCCTGCTGTTACAGGTATGGGCACACGTTCTTCTCTTCTAAAGAAGCCAGAAAACTGGGTTTTCTTGGTAGTGAACACATGCCAAGCCTATTGGGTGGGTTGGACTATTGAATTGCAAAGGAGCCCTTGAAAGACAAAGGAAAAAGCAGTCTCATTATTCCTCCCCCTCCCCTCCACAGATCCATGGGGGATGAGGAGGAGGGTGGGATATCTCATAGCTAGTGCCAGTAACAAAAAATGACCAGTGAACTGACACATCCCACTTCTCTTGTGGTGAAATGATCCTTTCAGTCTGCTTCTAGTGACATAGTATAAAACAGAAATGCTTGGCAGGATCATTGGCCTTTCAAAGTAATGTATTGGTCTAACCTTTTGAGGCCAACTAACCATTGTGAACTAAGAGTTTGGAAGAGGATTATCTGTGCTACCAGATACCACTGGGGCTGAACAAATAGCTAATATGTTGTTTCTGTCCCACAGATTTCACTGGTTGCTAGTCTCCATTGCAGACTACCTGCTGAAGCAAGAAGCAGAGTTTCGAGAGAAGCAAGTGGATTTTCACACGTTTAGGTGTTTCGCTTGTGCTGCAAACATGGGAGGCAAATTTAGCAAGAAGGGGTTTTGCCTTGCATGTGAGAGACCAATAGCCCAGCAGGTAGAAGAGGCTATAGAAGCTGTTGCAGAGGAGTATGAGGACACCCCACCTGCTGCAGCAACAAACTTGCTCAAGAATGGGCAAAGCAACAAAGACTTCCAGGTCCCTGCTGATGAGATTGAAGATGAGGAAAGAGGGGGAGACTCTTTAATGGGCTCAGAGCAACCAAACATCTTGCTAAAGCAAGACCCTGCAGATGCAATTGTAGGAGCCTTTAGAGACAGACCCTTGCCAGGTTCTGCAAGTACAACAACTGTTAAAATTGAGCTGACGGGGAAGTACATGAAAAGATGCCTCTTCCACAAGGCACCTCTGCATCAAGGCTACTAACCTCTTCCAGAATGCCCCTAGTAACATGAAATAAAACCTTGGGCTGCAGCACATGCAAATACTCAAAGGGCTGTGGTGATTTAGTACTTCTTGTTACCAGGGGGAATGGACAAACTGCATTTTGTTGAATGGTACTTCTCTGTTGCACCATTTCTTGCTCTTGTGCTATGTAGTCTAGCCTTGCTGCATAGAACAAGACTGTCTTGGGTGGTGGGGAAGCTTCCCCACCACATTTTTACAGAATACCTTCTTTCTCTACCAGTTTTTTTTTACAGACCTGAGTTCTCCAGGATGGACTGCCTGGAAGCCCAGCACGTCTAGGGACCTAAAGAAGGAAAAATTGCACTTGCCTGGCATAGTATTTTCCAGTGTTTCCTTTAAACAATATTAGTATGATGATGCTTTTCTTTAAATTTATTGTTTTATATAAATAAAAGCAATATCAATGACTCTAAGATGTAACTTTGCTGTCCTAAAGTCATCTCATCTTTTGTTTGTCTTATGCTGTAAAACTCTGGAAGTGGATCTGACATTGTAATCATCCAAAAGTACTTGCTGCTCCTTTTTCAAAAAAGGAACAAATGGTAGAAGAAAATTTTAAAGTTGGGTCTACTTTGAACAACCATTCTATGTGGATGGTAATAGGACCACAGAGGCTTATGGAAAGCACTTTGTAACTGGGGGGTTCCCCCCCTAGCAATAATAAATGTCTCTTATAACAGCACTATGTCTATTGATGGTTTATTTTGACATTGTGGAGAACCAATTTCCAACTGTAAACTGTCTAAACAGGGAATTGCTTCCAAACATGGGTGTAAAGCCAATGACTACACTGAGTTTATGATGACATTCAGTGCTAGATGAATAGGAAGAGGCCCTGAGCTCAATTTGACAGAATCAAAATAGCTAGACTTCCTTTGTCTCATCCTTTCCCACCCACTGCTTCCCTGCTCTTAAAGTTGGGGAGGGGGTGTAGGTATGTGACAGCATTGGCATTCCACTGGGGGGTCATGTGCCCCCCAAATTTCTGCCTCAAGGGCAAGACACAGGGCTGCAGCCTCTCTGACACCAGTGCCTGACAGTGGTGGTGTGGAGATGTGCCCCCCCCCCCCC